CTTAGAACCAATTCAGTTATCAGGGATTACCCGGAACCACTTAGAACCAATTCAGTTATCAGGGATTACCCGGAACCATAGCAGCAGATGCTGTTATTTGTACAGTCTGGAAACCCAGTGATGCAAGGCACCACACTAATCCTCCTTGAACATTTGCCTCATAAAAGTAAAATGCTGTGATAAATGTCAGTTTGGTCTGTTGAGCACAATTTAATATTTGTCGGGTTGTTGAGGGTCTTGGATGACCTGGAGACAAGCTTCATTGGATCCTGATCTTGGACAAATTACTCGGCATCTCTAAGGCTCAGTTTCAAATTCTGTGATGTGGGATAGGAGTAGCTGGCTCATTGCAGTGGGCGGTGTAAGTGGAGCGTGTGTGAGTGTCTGCCATGTGCCTGAGCAATTCGCGGTGGCTGCTCTTCCCAGATGCACATCGATTGGTGCTGTTATTGTCATTGTCCTTATTATGCATTTTTGATCTTACAAATGAGACTGCAATGTATAAATGCATGGTAGCTAAGATGGCTACAGCTCCCAGCACATTCCCTGATGTTCACAAGCACTCTTTTAACTCACTTCTTCCTGTTATCTAACGTGTCTGGGAGACAAGAGGGAGGAGAACAGAGTTCCTGGAGGGTCTTCACTGATTTGGTCTGGTTAATTAAGATTCAACTTTATTAGTGGATATCCTAAATATAATCATGAATGAGAGATTTCCAGGATGAATTTTTCTTTAGCATGAGCTTACATCCTGATCTGATGACAGGGAAACATGGCGTGAGCCCTGTCCAGGGTGCCCCGTCCGGGTGCCCCGTCCAGGGCGGAGCACAGCCCCTTTCGCAGTGCCTGGCAGTAACTGCTCATTAACATGTGTGGAATTTAATCGTATACTCAGAACGTTTAACTTACTCTATTGTTTCTAGACTATGTCAAAATTTTATTTTGGTGACATTCTTTTAACCTTATTCCTTAAAATTGGTAAACTAAAAGTAAATATAGGATGAAATAAAATATACAGAAATTCTTTGTATTATAGAAAAAGTAGTTATACCAGTATTATCTCTAGTGAAATTATTATTAGGATTATTTCTTTAGAACTCAACTAGATGGCACATACTTTAAAGAAAGAACGGTAGCACCATCTTGTGTGAGCTACAAATTCAGTGTTTTAGTCAGAGTAGTTTAAAGTGTTGACTATTTTTATTTCTTACGGATGGACCAAATTCACTTTATTATTATCATTATTATTGTTTTATGGGTTCAAAATAGGACCTGGCTCTAGAGTCTGGTTATTGGTGTTTTCTGTATGTCTGTGCATCTAATTGCCTAATTTATGCACAGAATTATATGACATGTAGAAGCATCAAACTCCATTTAGCTGAGTGCTCAAAAACTGTCTGTTTCATTATATTTTTATGATGTTTTATGGTTTATAATATTTAAGTCCTTTATTCATGTTAACTGCTCAATTCTCACAGTATTTTCTTTCTTCTACAATACGTGGATATACACAGTGCATTGAAGTACTTGTGAAACATGTAGAAATGCTCCTGCCTGTGCTAATTCCAATTTTTCTCTAATATTGAGAGGATGGATCAATTAAGCACAGAAATGTAAACAGCCACAAAGCCCAGGGAGAAGAAATGTCTGCTGATGAAACAGCAAAATATAACTGGGCTGCAATCTTCAAGCCCAGTGAGTAAAGAGCCAGGTTTTAAAGCTGACTCCCCTAGGGTTTGATCATGAGCTCACATATCTGCCTTTCTCCCACGTCTGCCATCCATGAAACTGTCACAACTATCTTAGCCCCTTCCAGCTGCTGTGACAAAACACCATAGCCCGGGCAGCTCATAGACAATGGAATTTTGTTTCTCACACTTCTGGAGGCTGGATTCCAAGATCAAGGTTCCAGGAGACTCAGTGTCTGGCAAGGGCTTGGTTTCTGCTTCAGAGTTGGTGCCATCTTGCTGCGTCTTCACAAGGAGGGAGTTGCAGGAAGCTCCCCTCAGGCTCTGTCTGTAAGGACACTGATCCCATTCTTGAGGGGGAAACCAAATGACCTCATCAGCCGCTGGAGACCCCACTTCTAACACCATCACCTTCGGGTTGAGGATTTCAACACTTGAATCTCAGGGGGACCCAGACATTCAGACCACAGCAATGACTACTATATTAAAATGGAAAAATATATAAATTGTATTATCTCATAGATGATTCAAAATTTAGAAAATTATAACCAGAAGCATGTGCTAAATCCTTAGGTATATAATGTGCAGAGAAAAATAAGTTTAATAATGTGATGAAAATTACACAGACTGTGTGTTGTGGTTTCTGCCAGCCTCCAAGACACCAGCATGCCAAGCCCTAAGTGGTTAATTTGTATCTTACCAGCAGATACCCCAGTTTCTCCCTTAAAGAACATAAATATGTGAATACTTTTTCTTGTTTCAGGCAATTTGAATCCACCCATAGAAGTGACAGCGCTGTATTCATTTGAAGGACAGCAGCCTGGGGATTTGAATTTTCAAGCTGGAGACAGAATCACAGTTATATCAAAAACAGATTCACATTTTGATTGGTGGGAAGGAAAGCTTCGAGGTCAGACTGGCATTTTTCCAGCCAACTATGTAACCATGAATTAAAGCGTATACTATTTTCTTCTTTGAGAATTACCAAAAAAAATTATTTCTACACTGACAGGATTTACTAGTTAAGCAATGTTTAATATAATTTTTAAAAACTTCTATACAATTTCCATTCAGTATGTAAAAGATCTTGTTTTTCTATATAAAAAGAGTTGACTGACATATCTTTAAATACTTTGTACTAACTTTATCACACATGCTGTGCCATAGACTATCCTACAATTTATGTGCTCATAGTTCTTTTGTGAACATTTTCAAACATCACTAAGCATTTGATCTGGCCATGTATATGGTAGCTGTATTTTAATTTGAGAATCTTGAGGGTAGAGCCACGAATTTCAATGCATACATTTCCATTTGCAAAGTGACTGGAGAAAAATAAATCAGCTTAAATGAGGTATGAAGTAATGTTTAGAGTTGTAGCTATTAACTAGAATATGAATCCTTAGAAATCATATTTATGCTTTCAAAAATTGTACTATGCATTTATCATAGAAATATGATTACAAAGAAGTCTGATACCATGTCTTTAGACATATGACATCTCTCAACTTTTCTTCCTTATGGGGCTACATTTGTTCATTTCCATCAGTAGCATAAACTTACGGTGATGTGGTAGACTTGTCTGTAAATAAAATTTTTAAAAGTTTACTAACTTAATATTTCAATTTTGTTCTTATTTTTTTTGTAAGGTAGGCAAAGGTCCTGTGTCTCATATGCAGGGTGAAATCCACCTCCGTTTTGGGCTACCTGAGCTCCTCCCTGAACTCTAGACTCCCCTCTCCAGCTATGCACTTGAGAGCTCCATTTGGACAAGGAACAACACCTCAGCCCTCATGGGTTTAAATCCAAGCTCTTCTTTCTCCTCACTTAGCCTGCCCCTCCCACAGTGTTCCTCTTCAGTAAATGGAAATTCCATCCTTGGATTTCCTTGGTCCTTAGAGTGACTTCAGAGCCAACTTTCGTTCTTCTATCTCATGCCCTCTGTCAAATCCAGCAGAGACTATGTTGCCTTTCAGACACTCGCTGACCCAATATTTGCACTCCCCCTGTGCCCACCCTGAAGCGAGCTGCCTGCTCAGCCCCAGCTCCCGCGTAGACTCCTTGCTTCAGCCCTGGCTTCACCCAGCAAACCCTGCTGAGAGGAGCAGGTGCACATTGCACCTTTTGTCCTGGTATTCGCTCCTCACTGCCTTATGTCATACACACACCTGTGCATTGGCCTTTTTATTGATTGTACCTTCTTAAGACATGGAAAAGGAGAATGAAGATCCATGTTATCTTCACCCAGCGAGAAGTAAAACAGTTATTTCCTACTTTCTGAGCCCTTTCCAATCACCACTTTCTCCTTCTAACTCAAAGGGAATCATCACCCTGAGTCTGCTGTTTTTAATGCTATACTTTTCTTTACATTTTTACTACATATGTTTGTGTCCTTAAGCACTATATGGTATTTCCTTCCATGCTTTTAAACTTACAAAATTTAAAGTTTTAAATTTACAAAAGATACGATAAATTCACTCATTTACAATGGACTTATTGTAAAGAAACTATGCTTTATATGTTCAAGGAATTAAAAGAAAAGGTGGAGAACTTCAGCAGAAATTTGACACTATAAGAGAGAACTAAATGAAAAACGTGAGACTGAAAAGTAAAATAAACTAAGAAGACAATCAATGGATTTGACAGTAATTTAGACACAGCAGAAAAAAGAATCATTGACCTGAAGGCAGATCAGAAACATACATCCAGACTGAGAGTTGAAAGGACTGAAAATACTAGAGAAACCAAAAGAAACTATGGGATAAGGCAAGAAGGTATAGAAAATGAGTAGTGAAGGTTCTAGTCAAAAAGTGGACAGAAAATCAGGCAGATGCTGTACATGAAGATCAAATGCCAGAGCATATTCCAAAACTTTAAAAAGACATTGAACTGCGGATTGCAGAATTACTATGAACTCCAGGCACAATAAACACAAGGAGAGTCACATATGTGCACATCGTTATAAAACTGATAAAAACCACAAAGATAAATCTAAAAAGTAGATCAGAGGTTAATGGGTAAAAATGCACACTTAGAAAAAAATAAGACCAGGTGTCTTATCGATCATTAGGGTGACTACAGTTAACATTAATGGATTATACATTTCAAAAGGGCTAAAAGAGAATAATTTGAATGTTCTTATAAAGAAAAGATACATACTTTGTGTATTTGATATAAAAGATATATATTTATGTATATGTATATACATATACATAAAGACATATGTATAAAGAAAAGATAAATATTCAAGGTGATGAATATCCCAATGCCCCTGATTTGATTATACGAATGCATCAGATTATCACATGTATATCAAAAAGATATACATCTATTATATACCAATTTTTAAACGTAGATGAGAACTGGTACAAATCACTAAGGTGATAAACAACACAATCAAAAAATAGATCAAAGATTTCATTGATTTCACTAATGAACATATATGGATAACAAATAAGGACAGGAAAATATGTTCCATATCTTTAACCATCAAGGAAAGCAAACAGGAACTGAGAGTGAGATGTTACCACACAACCTCCAAATGGCTAAATGCAAACAACTGACGCTATCAAGTGTGAATGAGGAGATGGAGCCCTGAAAACTCGCAGGCACTGCTGCTGAAAATGCAGAATGGCATGGTGGCTTCGGAAAACAAATGTGGCAGTTTAACTCCTAGCCCAGAGATTTCATTCCTGGGTATTTGTCCAGGGGAAATAACAATACATGTCCACATAAAGTATTATATGATGTTCATAAGAGCTTTATTCATAATGACTCCGGACTTGAAATCCAAATGTTCATCATCTGTTTAATGGATGAGAAGCATCGTGCTCTACCTATCCCGCGGAACACTACCCAGCAGTAAGGAATGGACGTTGACACATCAACAACATGGCACATCTTCAAAGCATTTTGCTTCGTGTCGGAAGTCACATGCTGAAGGCGACATAAATCCACTCACATAAAATTTCTCAAAAGGAAAAATTGTAATAATGAAAAGCAGATAAATATTTGCCAGGTGCCAGAGGTTGAAAGAAGAGCTTGACTGCCAAGGTTGACAAGGGCACATCTTATGATGTTAAATTTAATAAATCTAAAACAAATACATAATGTGTGTGGCTGTCAATGGGCCTGTTAATATTTAGCAAGCTAAAGTATATTACAGAAACAGAGAAATGTAAAAAAACAGATTAACCCACCCCTCAGCATACTGTAGATCAAACATACAAAAATGTATAAATATATATACTATATAAAAATAAAAGGTATCCAATGATTTGAGACTGTACCCTGAACTTAGGCTGCCTATTTATATCAAGTATCCACAGAATATTCCCAAAAGTTGACCATAATACCACAAAGAAAACTTCTTTTATGCCACTATAAGAAATAGTATAGATAACATTTCCTAGCTCTGTACTACAAATAAGAAAATCCACACTAGCTTGAAAATTTCAAACTCTTAATAACTCAGGGCATATATATGTGTGCGCACCCTTGTGTGTGTGTCGAGTGTGTTTGTGTGTATACACACACAACACACACAAAATCCTAATCAAAGAAAATAAAAGAGAAATGATTATGTTTCTTAATCCTTTCCAATTAAATTCAAAAGTATAAAAAGTCTGCTTCATAATATTAAAATTGATTACAGGTGCACATCACCATGCCCAGCTAATTTTGTTTTGTATTTTTAGTAGAGATGGGGTTTCACCATGTTGGTGAGCCTACTCTTGAACTTCTCACCTCAGATGATCCACCCACCTCAGCCTCCCAAAGTGCTGGGATTACAGGCTTGAACCACTGCGCCTGGCCAACTCCATTTTTTATAAACACACTTAAAAAATGTTCTAGATACTTTCTTAACAAAACTAGGCTTATTCTATCACTGGAAAACATGAGAAACGGCCCCTTACAGTAAGTCAGAAGAAGTCACCATCACCACTGTGAGTCGGTGTCGTCCTGGAGGCATTTGCCAGTGAAATTAGATGAGATGGAAACGAGAAATATAAAAGTTAGCAAGGAGGAGATAAACAACTGTTTTTTCCAGATTATAAGATGGATTACTTGGGAAATCCAAGTGAATCAACTAAAAAGAAAACAACAGGTGCTATAAATAATAAAGAAATATAATAATTTTCAAAACTAGTAATCAAAATTAAAAGCTTTCATATTTACCAAGCACAATCAGTTAGAAGACGTAATGAAAAGAACCTCTCAATTTCAAAATGCCACCAAAAGTGTTAAATACCTAAAAACAAATAAAATAGAAAAAATTTAAAGGCCTAATGAGGAAGACGCTCTTTACAGACACACAGCTTAAACGAATGGACAAGCATAGATGATTCTGCATCAGAAACCTCACAAAGATAGCAAGCTTCTTTGGGCTATTTTTTTTTTCTGAAAAAATAAAACAATAGGATGACGAGCCTACCAGACTCTGAAACAAACTCCAAAGCTGCAGCAAGCTCACAGGGCAGTTCTTCTCTCCGATCAAGGGTGAAAATGAGTGTTTCCTGCTGAATATGTGAGCTGTTTAGTTTGCCCATTGTTAAAGTTTCTGTTTCTTCCTGATTTTTGAGTTTTTTTACATTACAGAGATGATCACCGTTTTCTGTAAGTTGCACGTATCTTCTCCCAGTGTGTTTTTGTTTTACTACAGTGTTTTTTGCTATTTAAAAAAATCCACCTTTTTATTTTCCTGAAATGGCAGATTAGAGTCTTTTAGCTTATCTCAGCCACTTGGAAATAGCAAAATAGTACGTAAAGATCAACTCTGTGTGCTTTAATTCAAGAAAGAAAATGGGAATCTACTGGAATCATGAAGGACACCCCAGCTCCTAGGAGAGAGGACGAGGGCAAACAGCCCCCACGATGGCACTCAGCAGATAAAATCGAGTGAAGCCCCAGGACGAGAGAGCAAAGGGAGACCCTCTGTGACTCACCTCAGCAACCCAGGCCATACTTTGTTTTTCCCAAGTCCTGGAACTGACTTGGGGAGAGGCTTGGAGAGCCTGAGAGGGAAACAGACTGAGAAGAGCTGCAGGCATTTTCCTAGACCTGGGACCAAGAGCAAGAGGCCATTTTTAATCCAGTGCAGACAAAGTCAGCCTTTCCTTGGTGAACCAGCAGTGCGGCCATGCAGGCATTTTAATCTCAGGCCAGAGACTGGAACACTTGCTCTGGAGTAGGGTAGGGACCTCCATGGACAGAATCATGGAAAGCACCTTGGCAACAGGTGCCGAAATTGTGCTCTCCCCCGTTGCAGGCAGGGAGCAGGGGAACAGGAGGAGAGCTGCTATAACCCTGATTCCTCCTGGGTGACAAGACTTGGAGCCGGGGCCAGCCTTGCAACCTGGGACCAGTGTGTGTGTGTGTGTGTGTGTGTGTGTGTGTGTGTGTGTGTCATTGTTTGGTGCCCTGGCCCACTTTCCTGAGAGCATGATGCAGCAGGGCCCTCTGCACTCCACCCCAAGGCAGAACTCCAGGCAACTGGAGCACCTGCTTGCGTGGATCAGAAGCCTGGGCTGTCCCACCCTTCCTGGGCATAGATCGTGGTGCAGCCTCCACTCTACACCCAGGCAGATCTCCAGGCACTGGAAGCACCTGATCCTGGTGCAGGGGG